TTCATCTTTGCAGGCGTAAATTTATCATTGCAGGCATAAGCTTTCTTCTTTGCGAGCATAATCAATCAATCAATCAATATCAAAATAACAATAATAACATTAATAATAAGCGAATGTATGATAACTAAAAATAATCAACCTATCAAAAGCTCTGTGTATACTGTGTGACAATGTCATTCTATACCAACCTGCCTCAACTGGCGGATCGCAATCCACTACCGGATCGCCGACCTCCTCTGTCTGGACCTCCTCTGTCCAGACCCTTGGCAAATTGTGTAAAATAATCATTTATAAAGTGATTTTTACGTTCTACATTTTATATTTGTGGACTATAATCTGCGCATTACCGCGATCGCTTGTTAAAATTATCCGTTGTATTGTTTGCGTGCACTAACAGATGTATTGCAGAGGACCGCAGCAGCGCGACTGTGTGTTGTATAATGTTTGACTAACTGGAGACCCTGGCTGAGCAGGGCATGTCGGCGAGAACGATGCGCTGATTGGCTCCTCTGAACTTAAGGTGTGCCCATATATCAGCATCAGCACGCGTCTATCCCAATACACACGCATTCAAAATGGATGATTGTGTCAGGAAACAGACGCATGCGCGACGCCACAGTGTGCTCACAGCTTCAGTCCAGGAGAGCCGCACACAGACAATTAGACAAGACGAATCGCGGGAGGTTTCGATTGTGTGCAGTTTTGCTCCTGTCTACCCGGGGATCTTTGCAGCTGTTTAACAGCAGAACACCGCAACATGGTAAATGAACATCACAATGGCGTCCTCAAATAATATTTGCATGCCTCAGACATTGCATTCACCTTTAGTGGAAGAACAGCACTGCACTTTCCTGTGCTCCCTTGTGTCAGTATTTAAAATGGTTCTTAACTCCTCTTCTGATATATTTTTCAGTGATTTCAGAGGGGATGTGAAAAGGGGAATTGTACAAATGAAAAGGATATTTTTGTTTTCATGTTGAGTATTTATTCTGGTAAAATGAGTATTTTGTTTTGTTTTTGTTAAATTAAGGGAAAAAAAAAAGACAACTACTGTTTTACAAAGTTAAAGTAAAAATGTCTTATTTCCCTAAAAGGGCTATTTCTATTATTAAGCAGGCACAACTTAACAAAATAAAAGAGTTCCTGTGCCTCAACACAATACCTCTCATTATTTGCTGTGTACTGGCAAAGTGAATAATTGTTATTTTCATGCACCCCGTTATTGGTTGGTTGTGAGGAGTGTTGATTTATATAAGCTTGGCTTGACCATACTAAATGGGCATATAGTCCTGCTCCCCATGACCGCCGTACATGGGACCGGACCTTGGTCTTATTAAAAAAAAAAAAAGTGGACCTACAGCATTTCTAGTTGAGGACCACTGACCTAGTGCATTCATATTTCGCAGCTGCTGGTGCCCCTGTGGGTTCTGTTGAGCAGGACCCTGCTTCTGAGCAGGGGACTGGTTGCCATAACGGAGACCCAGAGCGGCATAGGGCCTCTGCATAGAGCTGGGGTCGATGTGTGTGGTTGCACTGTTGATGGTCAGGGCACTGGGTTGGCTGGCCCCAGGGGAACCTAGGGTGAGAAGGAAAATAATGTTAACATATTTCTCTAATGAACACCAGGTAAGACATTTTATTCTTGGACTAAAACATCTATTTGGGTTTTATTCACAGTGGTCGATAAGCACAGCACCGCTCCTCGGTGTGCTGCTGGCTGACAGGCAGCACGCTGCCTTGGTGGGGGATTTAAATCCGTCATCGGCTCTTTGAACCAATCAGAGACCAGCCCGGCGTCAAGGCCCTGCCTCCCCACTAGGACGAAACAGCAAAGCCCCTCCCCTGGGTGTCCCTTTACAGACTCAGCCTTGTCTGAGGAATCCTGCCTCAGTTCCACCCCTCACGCTCAGCTCTGTGCAACCTGCAGGTGGCACCCCCTTATACTTTCACATTAACTTGAGACTAACACTCAGGATTTCCCACCCTAATAACCAAGCATACAGTGTCTTCAGTTCCTATCTTGTTTTTAGCATTTAAATGTCCACAATTACAGCACTCACGTTGCTGGTTTCTCTTATCGCTTGCGTTCTTCAGAGGCAGGCAGACGGGACAGTCATGCCGCATGCAGTTCTTCCAATGGGAGATGATCTGTCTGGATGATGCACAGTGGGCCACTATGGGAGGAGAGATTGAAAGGCGACACAAGCATTGAATGAACTATGCGCGCCCCCTCTCAATTTAAATGTGTTGATTCAGATATTCCTTCAAGCATTTTACTACAAAGTTCTGTTCCTTCAGCTTTGTTTACTCAGGCCATGGGCTTGTCTCATAGTCAATAAGTGCTTTTCCACCATCTTGGGGAATATCTAGACAATTACAAGCCTTTTTGAGTCACATGCAGATTTGGCTATCTGTGGCAGGACTTGTACACTCCTACACTTACAGGAGATCAAAACACATGCAAAACTATAGGACACAATTTTGGAGATGCTATGGACTTAAAAAAAACAAAAGAAAAAAAACTCACCCTGGCAAGACTTGCCCGCCTGGCAGTGGGTAATGTGGTTGAGGACATTCTTCATGGTGCGACAGTGGGGGAGAGTGCAGGCCCTCACCACCCCCTTGGCCCGCTCCCACCGCTGGCACTTGTCCGCGTGGAGCAGCAGGACCAGCTGCTGCTGAATGAGTTTGCGCTTCTCAGGATCGGCCGTCGGACCGGCTGACACGCTGCCGGTGCTGGGTACCATACCCAAAGGCGCAACCTGCTGCTGCATCTGGACCGAGACAACGCGACACGTCTCAATGTGAGCAATCCAAGTAATTAAACTCGAACAAAAAGTGACAAGATGACCTGATTTCTGACAAATTGACCAGAACTCATCACATGCTGATCGTGTTGCCAATTTTTTTAAAAATCTTTAAAAAACGAATCCTCGTTATCCCTCAGCTAGACCAGGTCTGGGGAACACGACAGCACCCCAGCTATCCAACTAAAGCAGCCTCATCCGGATCTGATGTCGCATTGTGGAATAAAAGGCCTCTGAAAAGTGACAGGATGACCTGATTTCTGACAAGTTGACCTGAACTCATCACATGTTGATCTTTTCGCCCATTTTTAAAAAATCTTTAAAAAAAAGAATCCGAGTGATCCCTAAACCGGACCAGGTCTGGGGGAGACTACAGCACCCCAGCTATCCAACCAGACCAGCCTCATACGGATCTGATGTTGCATTTTGGAATACAAGGCCTCTGAAAAGTGACAAGATGATCTGAGTTCTAACAAGTTGACCTGAACTCATCACATGTTGATATTCATATTAAACAAACAAGGTATATTTGGTTGCATCACACAAAATGAAGGCTTCCTTGCTCTGTTGTTGGTGATGTGTCTGACAGTGACTCACACAAACTGCACTCCTCCTTTGAAAGACAAAAGCATCCATTTGGTATGTTTTTACTTTGCCCTCATTCAAATCCAAATCCAAACACCTACCTTTCGCAAAATTAAACTACACATGGTGATAAGAAAGGATGGGCAGTAATGTTTTACGTTTTCTGTTGATTGATCTTCCACATAAATTGTGATGTCTTTGTAATGTTGCACACCCTCCCACAATTCTGACTCCGCCTTTGAATGACAAACACCTGCATTCAACAAGATCATATTTGACGTTCACTTCCCCTCCAAGTCCAAAAGAGGACATGCAGAAAAAGTTTACATGTTCTGATGACTTATCCTCCACATTGATTGTCACGTGTGTCTGCTGTTGTGGGAGCTTGTGCGATTGTGACTCCTCCTATTCAACAAACACTTACATTTAACATGTTCATACTTACAGTAACTCCTACTAATAGGAAGAATCCACATGCGGCAAGACTTTAAATTTTAGAGGGCACCATATCATTTTTATTTGGGCCTGTGTACAATTGAAGTGCCTCACACAGTTCCAAATGGGTCTTTGGTGGTTTGGGATGGAGCTAGAAAATTAAATCAAACATTGGTAGTTGTGATTTAATTGTTAATTGTAGTGACTTGTGTGTTTTTACCGTCACTGGTTGCACAGACAGCTTGAATGCACCCGAGAGATCAAAATGCCAAAGCTCTGACAGTGAGAAAAGTCCTTCCTAATTTATTCAACAAAATCAGTCAAACAACTGACCTGGTGCAATTGAAGTGCTCTCCGGAGTCTTTTTCGATTATTGATATTATTTGGAATTCTAAGATCGCAGCATATCTCTTCCCAGAAGCCTTGACTGGCCGCATTTGTGTCTTTCCACAATCGTTGCACATGGTCGATAGCTTGCAAAATATTTGCAATCCAAACTTTTCTTGTCTTGTTCTAGAGAAAAAAAAGTAAGAGCATGATTACAATGTAACACCAGTGATGCAATTTTTGTTTTATATCATCTCAATCAACACCTTACCCCAAAGACCTTGAATGACAGAACTCTGTGTGAAGAAGAGAAACACATTTTCATGTTATTAAAAATTACATTCAAAAGAAAATGTTGAAATAATACACCGATTTAATATATTAACATAAGATTATGTGACTCGTTGCATAATATGGTTAAAAATAGAAAAAGTACAACAAAAATATGAACTCCATTTCACCCTGTAAGACACAGATGTCGAAATTAATACATGAGCAAGATTTTTTGACAACTTAGTAACTGCAGAAAAATAGTCAAGCATCAGCTAGAAGTTACTAGAACTAAAAACAACTCCAAATATACAGTGTTTCAAATACAATATGAGTTTTCAAATACCAAATGCCATTTATTACAATGTATAAGCATGTAAGAAGTGCAGAGGTCTCAGGTAATTTGTCAGGTTTACAAGCTATTCTGGCAAACAGCAAGTCTGAACGTTTCAGCCATGCAACATGGACATAACCAGCTCTCATTCAAATTTGTTGAATGTTTTCCAAAATGACAATGTACACATGTTCCAGGCGTTAAAGTGAAGAAAAGAAAAACGTGAAGGAAATTTACTCAATTGAATCTTGAACAACACAATTGTTCAAAATAAGCAGATGAGCACCTCTGGAGATTTGCCGACAGTATAACTTCATGCACCAATGGACACTTCTTCCATCCAAAAGCATCGCAAGGGCAAACAACAGGACTCATTCACCAATGTAAATGTGGTTTTGAGAGAAAAATTGCATGCCCTACCAGTGATAATTTTACAGTTTACCCCCAGCGAGTCCCAAGGACTCGCTGATCAGAAAAGTATGAGTCCCATTATGTATTTAGGGTCCCAAATTTCGAATTCTGAAATGGTCTACTTATTCAATTGCATATGATAACACAAACAACAACATATACATACAATTATAAACAAATGCTGCAAAAATTTAAATAATTCAGTCGCAGGCCTGAGGATTTCTGAAATTCACGGTAACTGTTTTTCGGTTCCCTCGGATTACCTAATGGGAAACTGCGGTAACTAATTTTGGGTTCCGTAAACGTTCATCATGGGAACGCATTTTTCTATTTTGACTGATATTCATAATCAAGAATTCTGAAACTCAAAAGTATAATGTTTCAAGGGTAAATGTTTGAAAACTATGCATTAACAATGAACATCACATCAGCAGCTATGTACTCCAGGTTTATTCAAAAAAATAAATGGATCAAAATATGGTGTACTCATATGGCATCACACAGCATACCACAAAATCAGAGTATTTTTTCCAATCTCACACTGCAAAGATTAATTTACTGGAAATCATTAATACAGGTAAGTATTGATGTGGCTTGACATCCTCTTCCCAAGACGATGCATGTGTAATCTACTATCAATTTGACGAAAGAAGAGAGGTGATTTAAAAATTTGCTCCGGAGCAAATGCTCGTTTGCGGGGCAGCACCGATGTAAAATGGTACGAGTGAACGCTACAGGGTTAAAAATTAGCTCCAGAGCAAATGCTGGTCTGTTTTACTTGCTGCGGTGAGCCGATCCACTCACATCGCGCACGTGCGCATCGATGCATCGATTAATATCGATTCTTTTCCAGACCCTTAGCAGATATAGACACTTGAACGCAAGACATACGAAGAGCAGCGGCTATAAGAACTGTTCACTAGCTGCTGGAGGTTGTTGGGGGAAGAGCGGCCTCCTCTTTCCCGCGTGTTCGTTGAATTTCGGACGAGGAGAATGTTGGTAATCCAAATAAAGGCTGGAGGCGATGAACAGTTCCTTCGAAGGGTTTAATTTATTTTTCTGCAGTTTACGAATCAATTCGGGCTCCTGAGGGGTCCAGATTTGAATCAGGAAGCGTAAAAGACACACATTCATGAGATTATATAGAGACAATATGATAATGAGAGTCGGGGAGGTACGCCTCTCATGCAAATCCCGGAAACAAAGAAAGTAACATGTCATCTGACCCGGTGTGGCTGGAAGAAGTTGGGAGTGGTGAGGTGAGACCAGACCACCACTACCCACCATTTGGTGTGATGGCAGGAACACGATATTTGAGATTACAGTTCCTCTTTCGATGTTAAACATGTCTTATGGAGGGGGGCCCTAAAAGTGGTGGGGGTCGAGGTGCACTAAAGGTGATCGTAAACACAGTGAGCAGGAAATCCCTCCAACAACATTCTACATTCTTTGTTTCTTTCAAATCCAACTAACAGAGAGGAATAATACCTTAACAAGGTATTTTGTGATTTATTTGGCTGTGTATACGAAACTAAATGTAAGACCTGATTGTAATTGTTCTATTTTGTCATATAGAAACCGAAAGTGTATTTTTTGTTGCTCATGACCTCCGAAGTGGCAGGCGGCAACGAGGTTAACTTGAGCCCACATTTTTGTATTAGCCTCGTATATTGTTTCTCTATTGTAAATTGCTGAATGTATTTTATTTCACCAACAGTTTTCACGGTGTTGGTGTACAAAGGCAAAGACACAATTAAACAACCGTCATTTGGAAACCGTGCCCTGGTTTTGTTACTTTGGAGCAACAATAACATGACTGAAACTCAAACGTTTCAGTAATGCGTATTTCATTGCCCACATAGGTAAAATGCTAAAGTAACAAATTCAGATTACTTCTTCGTCAAGCAAATGGAAAAAAATACTTACCCTTTGTGTCGCTTACTCATCTTTACAAACAATCGCACTGATAGGATGTTGTTGAGGCATGTCGCTCCCAACTTTATTCAAGAACGAGCGATGAGACGAAGTGGGTCGAGGCTCCGAAACTTGTGTCGCGGAAGTGGAACTGCGGTCAAGCCAGCCTCCACTGGCAAAATTGAAGTCAAGTGAGCCGCCACTGCGATTATCAGTGCTCTGCATTACGGTAATCTGCCGCCAGCGAGTGGCGTTAGCCACCTTCAAAATAAAAGCGCCTCCACTAATGCATAAACGTCATTTGTTTGGGTTAAAAGAAATTAATAAAAATATAAAATAAGTACTTTATTGTTTATTGAACATATAGAACATACAATACAATAACAGATTGACAAAAGTGAAGGCAAGTAAAAACTATAAAAAGAAAAGAAAAATAAAGACATCACAGTTTTATGTTCAAAGGAGTAGGAAAATAAAGACATCACAGTTTTATGTTCAAAGGAGTAGGAAGAAGGAAATAACTTATCTCGTCCTACCCCTTGTTATGTAACAGTATGTGAATTGATCTTTTTTCAATACAAAGAAGAAAAAATCTACACATCATCAAATACTTTTACCCTGATGTGGGTATACATCAGTGGTGGGCCGTGCATTTCAACCTTAGGCCTTCAGTGACGTCACATACATACACAATATAGGCTCGTCAAGCAGCACTTAATTTCAGGAGCATTGAAAACCATCAAGTATGCATTCACAATTAAGAGCAGGAAACTAAATTTACAGATAGTCAAAAATAAAAAGATGATTTAAAAATACGAAATAAAATGCCACCCAAATTACGCTGTGTGATAAACAACAAGTCTGTCCAATAAATTGCGCAATGTCGCAGTTTCATATAAGACACCAACCAAACAACAACAAAACAAACTATTCTTTGAAAATAAACAGATCATTTGCATTTTGAAAATCGGC